CCTGTGTATCACCTGAGGCTAGTCACATCAGTGGGGATATATATTTATGGGTTAACAACTTCAAGGAATATTGCAAATCTTTCCACGCAACCCCAATTACATTTTCAACTGGCACCTTTGCTTATAATTGAAGTCCCTCTTTTGAGAGAGTGTTGCTAAAGATCTGGTTGGGCCACTGCCTAAATCCACCAGGGGGAGCCAGCACATATTGGTATTTCTTGACTATGTCACTAGGCATTTAGAAGCAATCCTTCTTATAAACACAACTGAAGGTTATACTGAAACTGCTGTTCCTCATTTTCCCATACCGGTATTCCTAAAAATTAAGAGGAATCCGTTTCATGTCAAAATGTAACCAAAGAGCTGTGTTGGATATTGAAAACTACTCTTCACACACCTCAGTGTACCACCCCTTAAATCATTGGGTTGATAGAATGGCTCAATAGAATTCTTAAGGTTATGCTAATACTTAGTTTGATGCCTACTTTAGAGAGTTAATTTCTGGCAAAACAGCAGGTCCCCTATGAAACCAGAGAGATGAGCTTAGAGAGAATATACCAAATACAGCAATCAGCCATAACTTTATGACCACCCAATTAATGCTAAGTAGGTCCCAATTTTGCCACCAAAACCAAACCCATTTGCTGTCAAAACACCTCTGACTTGTTGAGGCATGGATGCTACTAGACCTCTGAAGGTATGCTGTGGTATCTGGCACCAAGCATTCAGTAGAAGTTACTTTAAGTCCTGTATGTTCTGACGTGGGGCCTCCACGGATCAGATTTGATTTTCCAGCACATCCCACAGATGCTCAATTAGATTGGGATATGGAGAATGTGAAGGCCAAGTCAATACCTCAAGTATCACTACTGAAAGGTATACCTGAATTAAGGGTATCAGACACCCTGTCTGCTATACAGATGCAAGAGGTAAGAATTCTTTCAAATCGAGAAGTGTTTTCAAAATTACCAATTATTTGCAATGACATTGTGACTGAACCACATGTCAAAGTAGCACCTTAACAAATACCTGAAGCTCAGAGAAAAGCCATTTGAGAAGAAGGGGTGTCAAAGAGGAATCTATTAGCTAGTGGTCTCCTGGAGCTCATCTCTAAGCCATATAGCAGCCCGAGGTTCCACAATGACTTCAGAAAAATATATGCAAAATCCAGAGACTTCATGACTACCCTACAGTCGATGAGTTGATAATCTTACTTAAGGGCATTGGCAGGTTCTCTTAACAGACAAGGCAAAGACAGCTTATCCCAGATTAAACTCTGTGGAGGCCCCTAGGCAGTTGAAACCTTGGGGGTCACCCCCTTGCAGGTTTCTAGAGGATTCTCGTGTGCACTTTAGGGGGATAACATTGAAGTAGTGTACACATCGGCCGCTAGATGGTGATGACCATCACTACTGTACATTACACATACGCAGGTTGCGCCAACATTTTTTTTTTTTTTTTTTTTTTTTATAAACTTACAGCTGAAAGAGAAACTGTAATGTGAACCTGATGTCTATGGTTTATGTACTGTAAGTTGTTATTGGGTATATTACATTAATACAGTATTCTCTCTATAGAGTCTTTAATGTAAATTTGTTTCTTTGAGTTGATTCATTTTTTCTATCTTCTGTAAACAATTTAAGAAAGCTTTATTGTAATTTTCAAGATTAAATAAATATTATTTTGATCCGCTGTTGCGCAGCCCTTAAACGACATGGGGCCCATAAGCTGATGCCTACTCGGCCTTTTTTGTAATCTAGCACTGGCTTCTGTGACACTAGATGGGATGTACTAGTACATGGTCCTAGTTTTTGACTGTGGCAGTGTGAGACCCTGCCAATTTAAATTGACATATAAACACTGGATTCTCAAAGCTGCAGTTTGAGCTCTGGCAGGTTAATTGTAAATGGAGCAGTGTTCTATATTTCTCTAGATTTGGTAGTTCTCGATCAGGGCCAGGTGGCTTGAAGGATCCAAAGTGTCTTGGGTGGGGCAGAATCTTCAATCCAGTATCCAAGCTTTGCTGGACTCTTGCAGCCCATGTGAGTGCACAAATGTGTAGGATCAAGGAAAAAGGGAGAAGGGAGAAGGGAGAAGAAGGTAGATCTGAGCATAGTTCAGGGCAGTTGGAGTTGTTGCAGTTTTGAGAACGGTTCTATCAGAGACTGCAATCCTTATGAGGGGGACTTTTTGCCCAAAAGACTGGGAAGGTCGAGACAGCTACGCAGGCCTAGGAAACCAAGATAAGGACTGGGAGGACGAGAAACCTGGGGTGGCTAACGGGTCCGGGGAGGGTGAAGGAAGTCCAGAAGTCTCCAATGGAGCGAGCACACACAGGGGACTGGAGAACCATATTTTGAGGCCAGGAGTGGGCCCGAGCCACAAGGCGCTGCAATTAAAGCGGAGTGTGGTTAAGACTCAAGTTGCTAAGCATTTTCCATTATTTTGTATTTGCTGGAAAAGAACGCCTGTGTGGGCAATCCACGTGTTTGACTGTTGTTTTTGTTTTTCCTTTAATAAAGGTGGGCTACCAGGCCCTTAACTATAGTTCCTGTCTTCTGTGGACTCACTGTACAGACGCATCTACCACGAGATGTGACCAAAAGGCCCCCGCCTCATTCTAAAGAATGATGGACCACATTTTTAAGCCTCAAGAATGTCTAGATGATGCTCTTATTGCTTATTTTGACTTGGATTCCTATCTAAAGAAGCCCTTGGCAGTTTTAGATTCTCTTGGTAAGGCCATGTATACAGACAATCAAAATAAATAAAATAGATTTGAAAGAAAACTGCTAATTTGAACTACAGCATTAGGCAGGGATCTTCTAAGAAGGACAAAATTGAAACAAAAGATGGCCATAGTCAGGTTAGAACCTTTCTAGGACTTGTAGATCCTTGTCTCGTTCATAGTTTACCACAACCAATGCCAGTTTTGCCAGTCACCTTCCAAAGGAGAATAATTTTTTATATATTTTTTTTTTTTTTTTTTTTTCCTAAAAAAAAAAAAAAAAAAAAAAAAAAAAAAAAAGGGAGGAAGAGGAAGGAGGAAGAGGAAGGAGGAAGAGGAAGGAGGAAGAGGAAGGAGGAAGAGGAAGGAGGAAGGAGGAAGGAGGAAGGAGGAAGGAGGAAGAGGAAGGAGGAGAAGAAGAAGAAGAAATGCATACTTTAATTTTTGCCTAGACCAATTGAAGCGGTATTATACCCAAAAGCAAACTGCTATAGCCACATATCCAGTGGAGGAGATAATACTTTTCTACCCACTTGGAAAATAGATTGTCTTTTCTCTTCATTATTCCAGAATGACATACAGGGAACACAATCAAAGACATGGTTATAGGAAACTATAATCAAGCAACAGTTGCTATCACTACAAAATTTCCATAAGTAGAAATCATCTCTCAAGGAGCTCAGGAGTGGTTATGCAGTCCATGCTGCAGAAAGTATTTTTTTTTTCATCATACATATAGTCTGGTTTATATTTTTTGACATTGCAATATCCTTATTATATACAACTTTGGGTAATAAATACTAAAATGCAAATCGTCGCTTTAAAAACACAACTTACCTAAAACAGCTGTATCGTCTCTGGTGAGACCACAGTTGCTTAAGTTAAGAATCCTTAGTCTGCTTACATGATTAAAGTGTGGAGTCATCAATTTTAAAGACCCACCAATCAAATCATTCCAAGAAAGATCAATTTCTTCAATGTCAAGGAGAAATGGCATCAGTGAACCTGGAGAAGAACACCAAACATATTAGTGACGTATGGCTTAGATTACTTTGAATAATCAAACAACAATGATCTCTCCGAAGTAATCCATACGGTAAGTTAAATTAAAGCCAAAGTTTATGATTGTGTTCATACAGAACTAAAAGATATCTAGTACAGAAGACTGAATATTATCATCAGCGGATTAGAAATTCTTGCTTCATTCCCAATACTTTCCACTAAAGGATAAGTTCACCTTTGGGAACATGTTACAGGTTTCACTCGTTCTTAGGGTAGAACATGTAACATGTTCCTACTCCTGCAGCCGCTACCCACTCCACTGTCTCTAGTGACAGCAAGTGGGGGATCTTCTATTAAAAAAAAAAAAAAAAAAAAAAAACACACACGCGTCCATGCAGGGCTTTGCCCGCATGGCTGCTTCAATTATTCAGAGTTCTGCAAATGGGAAACGACAAGTATCGACAGCCTTTGCAGCTGTTGGCTTGTAGTTCTCAATTAACCATCATGGCGCTGTTGGGCACTCTGGTAGTTCATGGTCTCTTCCGGTTTGTGTGCATCTGCTTGCCCGTACAAGGTACAAGTGGACAGATACACTGACAAGTCTGCAGAAGTCTTGCATGGCACCCAAGATCTGCTGATTGCAGTTGCAATGCTTTGCAGGCTGAGACTAAAAAAAAAAAAAATAATAATAAATGCAAATTTTTCACCTGAAAAAATATGTGCATTTTACTATTTATTTCTAAAAAGTGAACTTATCCTTTTACCAGTTGCACACACTAGGCATGCTACACTCATCCAAATAAATGTCATCATTGTACACACATTGTATAACACATCCAGTCCTTCTGCTCTGCTGCCAGGACCTCCCTTGTCCCAGTACTCAGCAATTCAGCTCTGATTAAACCAAAGCAACACTGCCGAGTACACAGAAAGTGTAAGAAAGTTCCAACAGCTGGAGCTGTCAAAAAAAAAAAAAAAAAAAAAAGCAGTCTGGCAATGTTTATCAACATTGTTCACCTGTGAATACAGAAACATTCATGGTTTCATTTTGCATCTTTCTGTTTATTCATCTACAAATCAAAAGGGATGAACTTTGATCTGCAGATTAAGTCAGTTAAAGAGTTACTAAACCCACAACAGTAAAATCAGTCTGTGTATGCAGTAAAGTATGCTTGTTATACTCACTGAGGAACCTAAGGGGTTAATACTTTGCATTGTGTAAAAAGGCGGTTTGATCCTTTCTTCTCCATTCCTTCCCTTTATCAAGTGACTATTACTTATCTCCAGACTGAACCATAGGCATGCACATGCTCAGTTTGGTGTATACTGCTAGAGAGGTTTTTTTTTTTTTCTTTCTTGGAAGAGTGCATGTGATCAGCACAGGGCCAATCAGCAAAGGTCAGGGGATTTCCATCCTCCTGGAGCAGAAAAAGGACTCCTCCTACAAGCTTTAGCCAGTGCTGGGCTGAACACAGATAGAAGTCACAAGATTGCTAATACTGCTGATGAGAAAAGGTATTTAGCAGTTTATAATTTACTAAAATAATTGCATTTCCATGTTGTGTGCACTGTGGGAGACCAGATAGCATGAATGCAGAGTCCTGGGTTTAGTTACACTTTAAAGCAATCTGGCAAGTAAGAAAACGTTTTGTTTTGCTTTTTTTAATTAAATATTCCTCTGTTTAAGCCCTTAATAACCCATTGTTTACTCTAATCAGCACTAATTAACGCATTCTCCTTTTCCATTCAATTATTATTTTCCCGCTTATTTTGTTAGTTTCTATTTTAACTAATAATGCTTAAACTTTTTTTGTGGTTTTGTTAATATTTTTACACCTTTAACATTTATTTACACATTTCATGTTTAACCACTTGCCTACTGGGCACTTTTACCCCCTTCCTGCCCAGGCCAAATTTCAGATTACAGCTCTCTCGCACTTTGAATAACAAACTGCGCAGTCATGCAACACTGTACCCATATGACATTTTTATCATTTTTTTGAGACAGATAGAGCTTTCTTTTGGTGGTATTTAATCACCACTGTGGTTTTTTTTTTTGCTAAACAAAGTAAAAAAAAAAAAAAAAAAAAAAAAAAAAAAAAGTTAAATTTTTGAAAAAAAAGTTCCTCAGTTTGTTATAAAATTTTGTAAAGAAGTAATTTTGGGCACGGATATGTGGCATTGATGTCCACTGGTAGGCACTGATATGTGGCATTGATGTGCACTGGTATGTGGCATTGATGGGCACTGGCAGGTAACACTGATGTGGGTACACTGATCATCAGGGCACTGATCATCAGTGTAGATGTCCCCTCCGAGAAATGCTGAGCTGACAGCGGGAGAAGAGGAGTGCCGATAACCAGAATTTCCTATTTACATGTGATCATCTGTGATTGGTTACAGCTGATCACATGACAGATCTCTTTCCAGTAATCTGTGATCCACCGCGTCTCAGCAAGGGCGCACATGCACAGTTAGAGTGGGAGGACGTCACATGACGTCCTCCCAGAATGACAGAACCACCGCCCTTCTGTCATTACCTTATGGTGGGTGGGAGGCGGTTAAAGTGCAAATTTGGAAAAAAACAAAAAAACAAAAACGCACTTTACTTTATTTGTAATTAACTTTGCATTAATTTGTACCAGAATCATAATTTTAGTGTTATTTTAAAATAAAAAGGTGTAGTAACACTATTCATTTTATAAACTAACACTGCTCAAAAAATTGTTTAAGGTTTGCAAAAAAAAAACCAAACTGTATCAAGACAATATTCCTGAAAAGAAAGTTTTGTTTGTCCTTAAACAGTAGATGTATTGTTTTTCATAAGTAATGAAGAATTTATCACCAAATAAACAAGCCTATAGCATAAATGTAAAAGTTGTTCTGGTCCATAGGGGGTGAACTGGTGTGAGAGGCAAAGTGGTTAAAGTGGTTGTAAACTCTTATAAATACTCAGTGAAGTGACAAGCCTCAGGTGACAGATGAAAAATCCTCCTATAAAAGTTGTACCTGTTGCAATATCTTCTCCACAGCCTTCTAAAGCACACATTTCAAACCATTTTTCTAAGCTTCCAAACTCAGGAGGTGGGTATTTGATGACACAGTTTAGAGAGGAGACCTGAGTGTAATCTGGGACCTGAGTGAAAGGAATAGACACACTCCATCTACAAAAACTCAAAGGGGAACATGCAAAGCTGATGCTGTCAAACTGTATCCTGTAGTTTCCTCCCCCAACCCCCTCGAACCCTTGGAGTTAGCACAACCTGTCAGAAATTATAGGCTTTGTTCATTTTTCTTGTCAGAGATTGGCAACCACTTCAAGTATGCAGTGATAATCTAGCAATGTAGTTCAGATATTTCTGGAAAATTGACATCTAAAGAAAAGCAAGCAGTGTTGTTGGATCTTTAGAGAAATTCTTTGATATGCAAATGATAGTAGCTCATTTTCTTCTGGACCTCAAGAGATAATAAACAGGAGAAGTTGTTTTAAATAATTTGGAAAAAAAGGAAAGGAACGAATACAGCATTGGGGAAAGCTTAGCTTTTTGTTTAGAAGAACTATTCATTGACCTTTTTATGCATGATTTAAAAGAATGCATAATATCCTTCCACAGTACACCGCCATATATTATAATTTACTCGGATGCTTCAGAAACGGTTTCCTGCCTATTCTGTTTGTATGCATTGCACATATTGAACGGTTATTGCCAATCCTTTGTGATATAACTGTCCAGTTTTACAGTCAGATATTCTCAGGCAGCTCCTTGGTATCATCCCTGGAAACATTTTATCATTAAAGATGTCATAGGAGACATGTACATATATATTTTGTATTTGCGGGTGCTTTAAACATGCCTTTTTGCACTTTTAGCAGCTGATTTACTTCGTATGCAGCATCTTTATCCTTTAATCCTTTCCTATTTTCCGGTTTACCCTGGCACCATGCTCACAGCCCCAGGTTTAATGTTTCAGGGTGGCTTCTGACCCCGGGCTTTTGGGCAGTGCCCAGAGAGCCCAGTCCACCCCTGGCACCAGCACCCCGATCTATGTCCATCTGAGCTGCATGTGCGAGGGTGTGTAAGGCAGGGGAGAGAGACATGGCATGGTGTGTGTCCAATCGATCTTCCTTAGCCTAGGTATGATGCAGGGACAAGAGTTGTGTCTTCCATCGCTGTGCGCATCAATAGAAACACGCAGCAGCCCCATAGGCTAAGATGGCAAACACTCCCCTGGTCCTCCCCCTTCCTTCTCCAGACTAACAGACTGACTGGGAATTGCATCAACTCTTTCCTATGAAGGCAGGAAATTCAGGGAAAGCAACACTAAGAGAGCAATTAAACTGCAAGTGCTGGAGTATTATTATACAGGATTTATATAGCGCCAACAGTTTGCTCAGCGCTTTACAATATAAGTAAGACTATTATCAAATAGTTTACTGGTGAATGTTTATTTTTTTGTGCTCAATGTGTTAAACTAAAAAAAAAAAACTGGAGGGTTTAATATTACTTTACCAATCACACCAATGACTTTGGTTAGGTCAGTTCTACTTAAAGTGGAACTTCAGAAACTTGTTTTACTAGCTTTGGTCAAAATGTGGAAGGATTATATCTGGAGGGGGGGGGGGGGGGGGGTTTCTTGTTTGCTTTGTACGGACTTCTCTCCCTTCTTCTGACAGAAACCCAGCAGGAATTTATGCTGGTTCTATACTGGTGACAACAGTAAAATTTAAAGTTCCCTCACTAGGAGTTGATTTACTAAAGGCAAACAGATTGTGCACTCTGCAAGGGAGTTTGCTCCAGAGCTTAGTAAGTTAGGTGAAACTTTACATTGCAAAGAATATCCAATCACATGCAAGGAAGAAAAACTGCAGTTTTGTTTGCAAATGATTGGATGATGGAAGTCGGCAGCGCTTCCCAACATTTGCTAACCTTTAGGGCAAATTCCCATGCAGATTTCCATTGCACTTGTGAAGTGCACAGTTTATTTGTCTTTAGTAAATTAACCCCAAAGTCTCCACAGCAGTGACACAGAAAGCTATTGCAGCAGGTCATAAATTGTAATATGCCCCCACTGCCCAGAGCAGGATAAAAATTTCCACTTCCCACAGGATAAAAAGTTCCACTTTAACCACTTGCCCTCCTGTGGATTTACCCCCCTTCCTGACCAGGCCATTTTTTGCATTATGGCGCTGTGTTACTTTAAATTGACAATTGCGCAGTCATGCAACGCTGCAAATCAAATGCATGTCCTGTTTTTCCCACGAATTGAGCTTTACTGATCACCTGCGCATTTTTTATGTTTTGTGCTGTAATAAAAAAAATTAAGGACCGAAAATTGAGGAAAAAAAATATGTTTTTGACTTTTTGCCATTAAACATGTCCAGAAAAAAAAAAGAAAAAAAAAAAAAAAAAAATCAACATTTAGTCATAAATTTAGGCCAAATATGTATTCTGCTTCATGTCTTTGCTACAAAAAAAAAATCCCAATATGTGTAAATTAATTGGTTTTTATGTGAAAGTTATAGAGTTTACAAATGGCGGTATATATATGTATACACACACACATATATAATATACATACACACACACATATATATATATACACACACACACACACACACACATTATATATCTATATCTATCTATCTATCTACCACACACACACATATATATATATATATATATATATATATATATATATATATATATATACACATACACACACACACACACACACACACACACACACACACACACACACACACACATATATATATATATATATATACACACATACACACACACACATATATATAGAATATATATATACACACACACACACACACACACACACTAGTAATCAGCGACCTATAACATGACATGGCGGGCATTCTGACACTGGGGGGAGCTGACATCTCCAGTGACACCAATACAGTGATCAGTGCTACAAAAAAGCACTGACACTGTACTAATGGCACTGGGCATGAAGGGGTTAACATGTGGGGCGATCAAAGGTAACTGTGTGCTGTTTTACATTATGTTCTGTGTTTGTGCTTCACTGTAAGCACATCTGCTTTGCATGGCTGTGCTGTGCATAGCCATGCAAAGCACTGTCCAGGAGCAGAACGGTTTTGTTTACCACCAGTTCTCCCCTCCGGAGGCAATCACTGTTGGTTATGTGTTATAGAAGACACTGGTAGTGATAGCAGAATTCAGGCTTTACTTGTGTGGCTTAAGTTACAAACATACAGAGCACATTGCAGCAGACATATTACAGACTCATTACTTCCTGAAGAGATGATAGAGAAGAAGAAAGAAGCAGCAAGTTTTACACATACACAACTAGTAACCTTTAGCGTACAGTGCCATCT